CAACAAGCTTAACAAGCTTCACACTCACTCGTTCTCTCTCTCTCTCTCTCGTTAATTCATTCGAATTCATCATCATCTTGATCATCTTGGCGCTACTTTATTTCACTAAAGAATTCCACCTCTAACGAGCTGACTGCAGACAATCCTTTTGTGCGGGAATTAATTTAAACACAGATATCAGATACCAGTCGCGTCTGAAGTGAATGTAAACAGACGGGACACAAGATGGGATCTGAGCATTAAGACCTGCAGTGTAAATGCAGCCTAACAGTCTTAAGATTCAGCCTTCCTCAAATAAAATAAAATAAAAGCCTAAAAAGGTCTTAAATCACAGCAGAGAGTCTTACATTCATAAAGTCATGGCATTAAATGTTCATTAATGAATCTCTTCCTCAGTGTTTCTGTCTTGTTTTCCAGCACAAATATCGAGAAATTGAACAAAATGAAGTGAGTTTATGATTAAAACAAGAACAAACATCTGTCAGTGGGGAATGAAACCTTGTTTCCCTTTGAATTAAGTTGATTATTTTCTGACAGATATTTGTTCTCGTTTTATATTTTTATTAAATTGTGTTGAATTTCTCAGAAAGCAAGACTTATTATCTTCTGTCATTTTGCTTCTCTGGTAAATGTGTCATGATCTTTAGACATTTGAACTGGAAAGCAAGACAGAAACACTTCTACAGTCTGATCAGAAGATGCCGTTAAAGTTATTTCAGTACTTTCTTTAAGGTTTAGGTAAGTAATAACCCTGGTCTGACTGACCCGCGACACACACAACGAGCAGCACTTCTCCTTATAATCCACATATGACGATGATAAACTCTATGAATGGCAGGCGAGTGTTTGTTCGGACTGTTTTCTGCACACAAGACTCGCTGAAGAGGCTTCCTGTGTTTGACAGACACGACGCGGCCCAAGCGCGAGTACGAGGTGGACAGCCGCGACTATCACTTCGTGCCGTCACGTGAACAGATGGAGAAAGACATTCAGAGTCACCGGTTCATCGAGGCCGGACAGTACAACAACCACCTGTACGGCACCAGCGTCCAGAGCGTCAGACAGGTGGCAGAACAGCAGGGGAAGCACTGCATCCTGGATGTTTCAGCGAATGCAGTGAGGAGGTTACAGGCCGCCCAACTTCACCCCATCGCCATCTTTATACGACCCTCATCCCTGCAGAACATACTGTGAGTCTGTGAGTGTGTGTGTGTGTGTGAGAGAGATGATGAGTTACTGATGTGTGTGTGTGAGAGATGATGAGTCACTGATGTGTGAGTGTGAGTGAGTGGGTGTGTGTTTGATTGA